TCATTATTACTTAATAAAAAATACCATGTTTTTAATTTGTTTATAAAAATAACTAATAAATTAAATTATTTTAAAGATATAAGAAAATCTAATAATGAAGATCCAATTATTCCCAAATACTAATCAACAAAAGCAAAAACCATTTATATACACAAGTGTAAGTAGGTATATCACCTTACATTTGTCATGCTCAAAAAAGGAATATCTACCACCTAATAAATTGTCTTTATTCTTAAAGCTGTATCAACTCTGAAATCAGCTTCAGAAGAAATGAAAGTTCTCTTGGTGAGAACTGGGGCTTTGTCTTGGCCTCCACAACCATATCCACCTCGCTAATTAAACTCTCTTCTTCTTCGCCAATTGCCTTTGATGGTTTCTTAATCATCTCTGTCACAGCCTCTGTAATTTCCTGAACAAGATCTACTATCACTCCTTCTATTCCCATCAGATGCTGCATGTATACGGCCTCTGCCACATTGCTTTACACACAAATCCATCCAATTATTACCCATTTTTTTGTTCATGAAAATTCATTCGTATATTTTATTTATAATGTACCAATTATGACACAATTTCTTAACTGCATTGAACCTAAACAACTTCATTAATCGTCCTTTTTAATTCCATTCAAACAAACCCTACTCTACTTTTCTAACCAAGGACTTGACCAAGGAGAATTGATCAACATGATGAAAACTACAGTCGGCCATGGGTGGCAACTTTTGACTTTTACCATCCGGGAAACTTGAGTGGTCAATCTTACCAACCAAAATAATTGCATGACTGAAATAAGAAATATTTTCAATAAATTAGAAACTTACTTCAGTTTTCCATATGTTAGAAGAGAAAGTTTGGCCTCCTTGATCTTGGTGACAGCCCCAGGATTTCTGAACACTCCTTTGACTTCTGATACAATCCCTTGAAGACCTCCCTCTAAGCAAACTTTAATTGCTTCCTCCAGGGAGTTCCTTCTGACATCATAGTAAATCTCACAGCCACCGTTTGTTAAGAAGAAAACAGGGTAGGTGCTCTGAAGTTTCCTGACTAGCAAGACAGCATCTGGGTGGAAACTAGAGAAGATGATTGGTCTGTCTTTAGCATATTCAAACACCACCTGTCACACAAGATGAACAAAAACCCAAGTCAGAAAAAGACAATGGTTATCCGGAATGAGAAAAAAAGAATTATAAGTAAAAAGAGCTTATCTTCATGTACCTGCAAAATGAGTTGGAGAACATGAATGAGGTGATCTGGCTGGTAGACAATGTTATCATCAAACTTCAATTCAATGTTGAAACCCAACGTGGGTTCAACTTTCTGGAAAGCTTCTTGCAATGTGCAAAGTGAGTCATCTGATTCAACATTCCATTTCACTATTTTTCCATCTTTTGTTTTTCTCAAAAGGGTTTTCCCATTTTTCTCTGGTTCCTTTTGTAGCCCATAGCAGAGGAACTCGGAAAGGGTTAATTCTGTCAGTCTTCTCTCAAAAATAGAACCCTAGAAATAACCAAAACCAAAGAATTAAAATTAAAAGGACAAGGTTATACTTTTAAGGGATTTAATTGTAATTGATTTTACATTCTTTATTTAGCTATCAGCCTATATTACACACCAATATTATCTTCCTTTTTAATTTGGCATCAGAATTAGAAAATTCATGTAAATTACTCAGTAATTGAACCCAGTAGCTAGCTTACAAATCAATACTTATTCACTGCCATATTAATCCCTTGAATTAATTGAAAATCTTAGTTAAGAAGAATGAAGAGATTAGGGAACTTACATTTTCTTCAGAGAGGATGAAGTTGTCATGGAAAATTACTGGGCAGCCATCTTTTGTCACCTACAAAAAACCAGAACGGTTCCTTTTCTTTACTTTCCACTGAACGGCTCATAAGCCACATTCTTTTGATCTTCATACTTTTTTCTTTTCAATCTAAAGCTTTATTTTTCAAAATAAATCAAGAAAAAAAAACCCCTACATATTTGAGAAAAAAAAAACAAAAACCATATGAACACAATCAGTATCTCCTTCAAAAGCAGCAGTATAATAAGTATCAATCATTATTCCAGTTCATAGTTTGACTTGAATTTATTTATTATGTATTTCTTTCATATGCACAGTTTTTTTATAAAAAAAAACCTTTTTCTAATAACATAAGTTGAACAGAGAACACTGAACTAAAAATTGAGACAAATAATAGTAAAACGCTAAAACACGGAGGAAAATTCTCCTCCTAAAAAAAGGTTGGAGATAAAATCTATTTACCCAAAAAAATCAGCTCAAAATCTGAAAATTAAAAAGAAATTATTAATTTCCTAAAATACCAAGTCGGTGCACCCACGTGGGTACCCGAACCCGAAGCGAAAGAAGTTGACAGAACTTTGTCATACGCGGCGAGCGTACAACGCACTCCGTACAATGATGCGGGTCCATGATTTCCCCAAGAATTCCAACTGAGTGAACATTTGATATTTAAAACAGATAATAATCAACTTTTAATTGAATTACAAGATCTGAATCATTTTCTTGGCCCCATTAAAAATCCAAAGCTTCAAAACAGAGAAAAAAAAAAAGAAAAGGACAAGAAGCTAGAAAGAGCTTAAACCTCGCCGGAGATTTGTTTTGTTTTGTTCTTTTTTTTTTTTGAAATTAGGTTATAGATAGAAAAAGGAACAGAAATACAGGAAGGAAAAATTAATACCAACTGAACATCGAATTCAATGAAGTCAACGGGGAAATTAGCGGCGGTATTGAAGGAAAGGATCGAGTTCTCTTTAATGGCTCTCATTCTCATATCAGACGATTGCAGCAGGTTCATGCCGCTGCCTCTGTGCCCTATGACAAGAAACTTGGGGATCTTAAACGAGGCCGTCCTGCTGAAATCCACACCTGCAACACCACCAAACCTTCAATGTAAATCCACAAGATTCCTCTGATGATGTTTAAACCGATATTTATATACATATGTATATGTATACCGTTGGCGCAACGTGTGGAGAAGAGCGAGAGCGAGGCATTCTCTGTTACTTGATCGATGATATTAGGCACATCGGAGACATGAACAGCTTTGAGAGCCATTCTATTTTTCTTTCTCTTTTGTTCAGCTTTCTTTTTGTTTTTTGGAAGAAAAAGAGAAAAATACAGAGGATGAAAAAGGGAAGGAGAAAGAGTTCTGGAGACGACGGGGACGGTGGAGGAACTTTGGGTTTTGTTAGATAAGAAAGTTTTGGGTTTGTGGGGTATTTATTGGACTCGAAACCGGGATGGATCATCCGGTAGAATATTCCCTCCGTGTAGGTTTTATGCTCTTGAATATTCTGGGTTTTAATAATCCCCCGTCTCTTATTCCGTTAAATTTCACGTCTCTCCTTTCTTTTTATTAAAAATAAATTACGAGACAAATTTTATGATTTTTTAAATAAATTTAATTCATTCATATATATAAAATTAGATTAAAATTAGTTAAAATGCTTTTTTTATTTTTATATAAAATTAGATTAAAAGTAATCATTTTTCATATAATTTTAATTTTAAATTAGTATAATTAATTTGAAATTAAATTGATAATTAAAAATTTAACACTTACAATTTATTGTTAATTTGTTTTTTTTTTTAACAAATTACTTGGATTTTTAATTTACAAAGTAATTTGAAAAGAAAATATTTTTCTAGATCATTATACGTACCTCCAATGTCCGTGTTAGTTATATCTTCTGAATCCATTACACGTGGCAAGAACCCACTACATTCTTGCATACCTAATTCTCTCCGTCTTTGTCACCGACGCCGTCAAAGAGCTTTCCAGTTTGGAGCGACCTTTCCTTAATCCCGACGATAATGGTCAAAATAAGTTTTCCTTGGTAAAAACAGAGTTTACACGCGCTTAAAAGGCACGTGGTTCATTGTACGGCTAGAAGAAAAGAAAACGCAAATTGGATCGGTGCTTTAAAGCGTATGGGTAGCACGCTCTTGGTGAACAAGTGGGGTTTCGAAACCCTTAAAGTTGAAATTATCGTGTCCGGACAAAACCGAATATCCCACCGAATATGTTGTAAACGTACTTGAATTATTAAATTTTTTTTTGTTAGAATAATTAATTAAAAATAATCAAAATAGTTTTGTGTTCTGATTAAATTTAAAAATATTTTTAAAACATTATTAAATCATTAATATAATTAATTAATTAAAATTATTTTCTTAGAATGTTTAAATATCACTAAACTATTTTAACTTGTATTAAATTTAATAATTTGTCCTATTATTTTTTCAACAATAATTAAGCGGTGATAATGAAACGTGGAGGTGAGTATATGTATAAACAAGAATACACGAATATTTATGAATATTATCTTATGTAATATTTATTAAGAAAAAATAAAATAAAATTTAATGATAAAATTAATGGAGGTTGACTTGGGTATGACGTGTAGCCACGTAGGTACACGATAGGCTTATCCCGTCTCCTAATGTTATGGGACTGGAACAGTTGGTGAGCGGGTGACAGCCGACACACGCTGAGTCCCAATTATTTCATTTTATTATTTTTTTATGTTATTTTATTTATTTAAATAGAACATTATTTTTATTTTATTTTTTAGATGGGATAATGTTTTGTAGTGACAAAATTGAATTTAATTTTAGTGATTTTATTCAATTATATTAATATTTTTTAAAAAAATTAAATATATAACACTCGATCTCAAAAATTAAGTTCGAAATAATCAAATTATTTTAATAAAAAATTTAAATAAATTTAATTTTTAATGTTTAATTAAAAATTTGAAGAAAATTATGTTTTAGGTATATTCAAAAGTAATTTTAATAGAAACGTAAAAGTAAAAAATAATAAAAACATGGCCACGTGGACTGCCACATCAATAGCGCGGTCTGTCGCCATGTGCCGCGTGGTAAACATGAGTCCACACGGGAAGCCACGCGGGCGATCAGCATGTCAATGGATCCAACGACCCATATCAACACCGAAAAGCCAAAAATCGAGAGCGGAGCTCGGCCGAGCCGCCGCACCCGCAACCCAAAACCTCTCCAATGAGTCCGATCCTGCTTCCTGTTTCCTTTTTATTTTTCGACCATTGAATTCCTAACCCTTTTCTGGTGTAGGGCGACCGAAGAAAACCATCGGCCGCGTGAGAGGAATGGTGGAACCACTGCACTGAAAAATCACTCTGCCGATAAGCTTCAATTTTTTTCTTTTTCCGGCCAACAGAGGCCACCTAACCTCGAATTTTGCAGGTTTTTCCACAAAATCGGCCGAAACTGACCAGACTGAGAGGAGACGCCCCGTAGACGATGGAGCCAGCATCGGAGCACGGCGACGTCGCTATGTTGGAACTCTAAACTGACCGAAAAATTTTAAAACTCCTAATTTCAGCCTTTTCTTAGGTATTTCAAGATATGTTACCCGTGTTTTCAGTTTTCACAAAAAACCAGAACTGACGGGAAGTGCAGTGAAGAAAGCAGTGTTTCGAACACCGACCCGAGGTAATAATCTCTCATATTTTCTTCCGTTACGGTTAATTAAAGTTTAATAGATAATAAACGGTATAACTTGTGAATGTTGGCAGCCCCTAATTAATTAAATACAGGTCACTAGTGGAGCTAGTAACTAGTTAGTATGTAATTGCTTATTTTACCTATATTGTTCATTTATTGCTAGACTGTTATTGTTTGCTTACCGCATGCACTTTAATTCATACGTTTACTTATCTTTTCGTTTATTAATTTACATAACCCTTTTATCCCTAT